CCCATTTTGAATAAGTAGATCACGTGATGTAAAGGAAATGTATATATGGGTATTAGCATGTTGTCTAACTGATCACCATTTCTATTACTATACAGATCACTATTTCTACACTATCCTTTATCTCTATACTATTAACTATACTATTTCTCTATACTGATCACTATATGAATTACTATTTGAATCACTATTTACGGTTACTTTTCAAGCATATATTATCGAGCAAGTACTATTAGTGTGAGTGTTACTCGAATGTGTCTGACACCAGTATTGTTCAACGGTGTTACTATAGTTGTATCTGTGATTACAAGGTCTCTACTACAACAAGCATTACAGAAAATGACAACAAGTATTCGTTGACATTACAAAAGTGGTAATGAGAGTTCACTGATGTCACAAAAGCCATGTAGATGTGTTGCAAACAATTGATTCAACCAGATTCAAATATTTTTCTTTAGCTGCAGAAAGAAAGATACACTTGTCACTAAAAGGAAAGAATTCAAAATGTAACAACCGCGGAGAAGTTGTGGTTGGTAGAATCATAGAAAACAATTTATGTAGATATTGAATGATTAAATGAACTTCGTTGCATTACATTAGCAAAACAAGAATTTGACAGACGTCTAAAGACCTTTCAAGTATTCTATAATCTGCCTTTTCCAACAGAAATTGTCTGTTTACTTATTTCTGCTTCATTGCCCTGCTCCAAACTTCTTCAGTGATATTTAGGTTTACGTGTTATTAAATGGCAGCAGACAGATTATGGAATGTGTTTAATGACTGGAAGCAGTTTGATTGGTTGAAAATCCAAACCATTGTTATGTTTCATTCCAGTTCTGTAAACTGTTGCCTGGAAACTAAAATGACTATTCATATCTTCAATTTCTTTCAGCCACATTTTTTGTTCTTTCGCAAGGAATCTTTTAATTTTTGTGATCTTTTTCAAACTTTCATAAATTCATTGAATAGACAAGGTTTTGTAAAAATATAACAATTTTTTTTTATATGCAAAAGTATGTTATATATACAGGGTATCACATAATGATGGAACACATTTTAAATGCAAGTATCTTGCTTGAATTATAAAATGACAAAGAGTACCAAATATATTTATTATGCAACATACTATATAAGATTTTGCTATTTCCTATAGGTATCCAGAATATCTTTGGCTGAAAGTTGGACCTTCATAATGTCTGCATTTGAAATGAGAGAGCAAGCTTGTGCATGTTCTCTTAATTGTGGTAACCATCTCAGGGATGTAATATTCAAATCTTAGATAATATGTTGAACTCTTGTATATCAGTTATACAATAAATACATTTTGTACTCTATGTCATTCTTATAATCCAAGATACTTGCATTTAAAATGTGTCCCATCATTATGGGACACTTGTATATATATCTATATATATATATATATATATATAGTGAATCATTCATACAAAAAGTAAATTAGTAAAGTTAATGATATGAAATGGCGAAATCCCTTCGCTAAAAAAATTTTAAAGATGCATTAATCTACCAATCACTCGATGAATGTTATGATCTTTGTTTTTTTAAAATTATAAACTGTATTAGATCTCCCTTAAATACGCAGTTACTTTTGACTCTACATTCAGTCATCTTCAGGCATGGAAATTATTTTGTTTTTGATAAAATTCAGGTAGCATCCAAGATGTAAAAATATAATGCAAATCGAAATATGTTTTTTTTTTAATGTGTTATTGATAATGGATACAAACTTTTGGATACAAACTTGATTGGTAGGTAAATGCATCTTTAAAATTTTGTTACCGAAGGGATTTCAAAATTTTATATCATTAACTTTACTAATTTACTTTTTGTATAAACGACTCATTGTAATATAAATTAAACTGCACCAAATATTTTATATATATATATATATATATATATATATATATATATATATATATATAATTTTAAAAAATCAAGGCTCATAACATTCATTGAGTGATTGGTAGGTTAATGCATCTTTAAAATTTTTTTAGCGAAGGGAATTTTCCAGGTTTTGATCCCGGCTTGAGGCAATCAGATGTCTAACCACACTGATGAGCCATGATACAGCAAAGCAGTCTGTCTTTGGATGACTATATATATATATATATATATATATATATATATGTGTGTGTGTGTGTGTGTGTGTATGTTATGATTGTTGTTTAAAAATATGTTATAATCGCAACACTGAAATTTGTTTTGATAAAAAATAAGGACAAAATTATAAATCTAAAATGAACTTTTGAAAAAAATTTAATGCTAAAATTTACATAAAATCTCATGGTCAATAACAAAATTCCATTCCTTGATACTGATATAGAACTAAAATCTACCTACCCGTATAAAAAAAAAAAACACCAGTACAAACACTTACCTTCTAAACTATGATAGCCAATGCTTGGAAAGATATAAAATAGCAGTGATAACAAACTACTCAAATGGACCTCACCAAAATTCCTCTTACCAAAAATAATTCTTTGCAAACTAAAACACATAAAACAGACATTAGTCAACAATAATTTTCCCAATTACATCATTGATAAACAAATAAAATTATTCTTACAAAAAATACTCAAAACCAGTAATAAAAATACCACACAATAAAATATCGACATATTTAACTGCAACCAGATGCACAATAATAATAAGCAGGATGAATTGGCTATATGAATCATTAAACACCATATTTCTACTGTAATTCCTGAAAAACATGTAAAATTTCACTACTCAGTACAAGTCTGGACATGTTACAACCTCCTTGAGTAGACAGCTCACATGTCACTTAGATCAAAGTGCTATAAAAAAAAGCATCTATCAACCCACAATTTACAAGAACTCTTCATAAAAATTCTGGTCATGAACACTAAAATTCTATACAAATCACATTACCAGAAACATCTGAGAGGCCCTGTATATAAAATGTCTCTCTCCTACTACCAAAAACACCAAAAACAAAAACCTCTTAAAAATGGTTAAAGAAGTGGCTGAAAGTGCTTTCGACAATGAAATTTAAGGAAAATTTTTGTACTTCCTTACTTCTACAAAACATAAGAACATAGAGGTGCTTGAAAAATTAAATAAAAATTAATTGAATCTTCCTTGTCTGCTGTATTTAATGAAAGATATTTGCAAGAAAGGCTGCTGCCCAAATATACATTAGTATATATATATATATATATATATATATATATATATATATATATATATATATATGTGTGTGTGTGTGTGTGTGTAAATAAATATAGATACAAGCAACCATACATGTGTGTGATCATGTGCATATATAAATTTGCAAATAAATATTTACTTTTTGGTGTTAACAAAACAGTTCTCAATGTGGTAATAATACAGTCCTATAAAGTATAGTACCTGAAGATTGTAGTAAACATGAAACTCTGAGTCAAACTTTCAACATAAGGTAATATGTATATTTATTAATATATATTAAAAAATATACATAATACCCTACATTAATTGCAGAGCTCTGAGTTTCATGCTGTCTGCAATCCTCAGGTGCCAATTTCACTTGTATATTGATTGAGGGTATTATGTATATTTTTTTATATGTTAAATAGCTCTGTTATTTAACATTGAGCACTTTTTTCTTTAGTGTGTGTGTGTGTGTGTGTGTGTGTGTGAACACTTGTTCATACATTTACCTATATTTATCTATTTGATGATATTTTACTCCTTTCAGAATAGTACTTTTAAAGGTATAATTAAACCTGCAAACAATATAAACTGATTATCTATCTATCGCTCTATCTATCTCTCTATATATATATATATGAATACATTTGCCTTTGACTGATTTTGAACTGGCATTCTTTTTTTTTCCACGACTCTGATTCACTAAATTTAAATGTGAACATGCATTCAGTGCACTTTTGTTTGTCTTCAAAATTCTGCCTTTTATTATCCACTTATTTTGTGAATGTTGACAATTGCACTTGTGCTTAAAGCAGCTTGTTTGCTTCTGTGTGTTTGGACAATGAAGCTGTCAACTTAGATTTCTCAAGTTGAGAAATACCGGAACTGTAGCGACATTTTTAAGCTTTTGAGTACGAAAGGCCAGTGTCTTGACATTTTTGAACTTCTTACTTGAGAGAAGCTCAATTTGACTTGTCAGCCTCAAACTGTCGAAAAGGTTAGTCTTAAGATCGATCACCTATTTGCTGACCGTCTTCAGGTACTTGTTGGGCCGTCTCATGAAAGGGTCCCAATGAATAAGCTCCCACTGCATGTCCTCACTATGATCATGTTTAGTGGTCAGCTTTTCCTTGTTGTCAGCCTCGTTTTGAATTTATTCACTGTTTCAGATGAAATATCATGTGGTATTGAGATGTGCTGGTAGTGTAATGGTTAGCCGCTTAGAACCAGAAATTGGCAAGCATTCAAATTTCAGTTAAGTTTGTTATATTCACTTCTTTTTTTTTTTTAATCATTTCATCCCAAATAAAGACACTAAGATGCAAAAGGTTACCTAAAGGGGAGAAAACAGAAAATGTTACTCAGGTGAAAGGACAATAAAAAGAACAAGATTCATGGAGACAGATGACAAATGATTCTGCATTCAAATTTTTGAAAGGAAAGGTCAGAAGTGCAAAAGAAGAAACTATTAGAGTAGAACTTACACTTATACTTAACAATTTCAACAGTATAATGATGGGACCTAGCTGCCAATTTAGTGCTGAACTTCATCAAGTCAAGGTATCGAAGAGGAAAACTCATCCGAACAATTACTATGTAAAAATTTAAAGGCCATGTTATGATAGCGGGGATTTCATGGAAGCTGAGATGCTAGTTCAGGGCTGGTAACATTGCAGATGTAAATTTTTTGTGCCAATACCTTTGCAGGGCAGGGCTCTTCAGCCTTGGTTGGCAACCAGTCTAGGAGACTGGCAAATCTGAATTGAACACCTGAGGTCTGAAGTGTTCATTATGAGAACTGATTTTCCTAATTATTGTTCATCATCTTTAACATGGTGTCTGGGAAAGAGAAAAGTTATCCAAATTTGTATACATTGACGGTCAATGGAGCCCTGTTTTGCAGAAGAAAAAAACATAGAGCTTTTTCAGATGCTAAAGGAAAGATATGCTCCCATCTTTTAAGTAAAGAGAGCTGTTTGCTACATCCTACATGTCTTTGACTCTCATAAAAAGAAACCTTTTTATGAGAGTCAAAGACATGCAAGACATTTCTAGAGGGGCTGATTTTCTGTTTCAAATTTTCCTTAATCCCATTTCAGGTTTTAGGGAATTCAGTTTGTTTTTTTATGGTTTTCTGTATAGAATTCTGTTTTTGCTTCATTATAATACTTACTGAGAAAATGTAACAATATATGAATGTTATTAAAATAAGAAAATAAAAGCAAAATGAAAAATTTTACAAGCTGGATTATCCACTCATCAGATAATTTGCTCCAGCTTGATAGGATTTCAAACATCATACTTCAGCCCTTAATCTAAGTTGATGGATTTCTGCGATGACCCTTGCAAAGAATGCTCCAATCCTAAATAAGTATTGAGTGAAAGTGGCAAAACCTACAGAAAAGTAGCATCACAGACTTAAAAAAAGAGGTGAACATAAATAAAAATCTAAATGTTCAGATGTTCATTCTATGTTTCATTCCATATTAGAAACAAGAAATATAACTTTGTAAACATTTTAATCAAATAAAAATATAAGCACAATGTAAAAGTTTCTATATTGAAAGGTAAGGCCAATAATGACAGTATTATCCCTTTTTGGATTCCAATTACCTTAAATAACAGCAGTGTGGAAGCAACTTGTTTAATTTATTTTATGGTCTCAAGTGTCCTTCATGTATATATAATTTCAATTTTCAGGATAAAATTAAATACCATAAACTGTATTTATAAAACAGACAATAGATAAGGGGGATGTATTAAAATGTTATTGACTTTATCCTTTGATGTTTGCTGGTGGGGGACAAGTTAGTTAGAAAAGACAAACACAGTAACAAATAAAATGGCAGAAACAAGAATTTCCATTTCAAAATCACAATTATTCTTTCAAGTAGGCCATTCTGTTTTTTCCGTCCATTTTTGTGTTTTCATGGAAAATAAGCCCTTCTATATTTCTACATTTTGTTGGCATATTTGTGCTTTAGAAAATTAAACTTGCCATTCTTATAATTTTATTACAAATGATTAGGTAGATATATGATTTGGTTTCTTTCCTGTTTTTTTCTAATGTCTACTTCAACTCTATACATCTGAAGGCTCCACCTAAACTCTAAAATTTTATTCGCTGTCTCTTGTTTCTTAATAGGACTAGATAGGTTTGTCTATCATCAGGTTTTCAATCCTCCCTAAAGTTTTCCCTTGTTTACAATTGGGTTTCCAGTTCCTTCTAAAGTCTTTTCAATCACTTTCACCCCCAGTAGCCCTTACGTCTTAGTTGCATTATCGCATTGCTTAGGGTGAACTGATTAAAAAACAATATCTGCTTTGATGGTCACATATTGGTAAGGCAACCCAACACTGATATACCTTCAGATTTGGGTCACACCTGTTATACCTGAAGATGCAAGCCCACCCCTAATTAATAGAAAAGCAGGTGGGAGTGCTTTAGAATAGCACAGAGTATGTACATACTCTCAACTTCTTCTTGATTGCATTGAGATAAGACAAACTAGCCTGTCTTGAATATCAGGTAACAATGGTTGAACAAAAGAACAGACAGGTAGACGAACTGACCCTGTCACTAACTAGCAGCCGAAAAGTTATCAGTTTTCCTTTCACAGAGTTGTTGACATTAGCCCCTCATTAAAAAAAAATGTTCATGCTAGACTGCACAAATTTTAAAAATACTTTTCTAGTTTAAGCAGCAGAGATCTTCTGCTAAGATATATCTTCTGCTTATATATATATATATATATATATATATATATATATATATATATATATATATATGTAATGAAACTGAAAGATGGTTCCCATAGGCTTCTTATTATATATAGATTTATTAGGCTGGTTAATAAAATTTGAGGAATAAAAAGACAACAAAATGATAACAATATTGGCAATAAAATTGATGATATTTATTATAAATTAAACTTTTGATTTTTATTATATATTAAACTTTGACTTAACATGAAGAGAAAGATTTTAAAGTCAGAATTTTTGGACACGCCTGTGTACTTTTTTCAACAATACGAGGAACAAACAAAGAAGTGGGACTTACTCTTCTGAGGTATGTTGCTGCTTTTGGTTAGAGGGCTCCCTGTGGAAACTATATTCTCTGATTAAACCCAAATCCATGTTTAATCCCTCAATGTGTGATTTTATTTTGAAAATATATTTCAACTCTGATCTGTGTCTTTCTTGCCAGCTGTCGAATAAAGACCCTAAAAGGCCTATTATATATATATATATATATATATATATATATGAAGAAAAATATACGGAAAAAACAAACAAAAATTCTAATATGCAATTATGCTGTTTTAATGTTCATATAATGTCAACGTCGGACATTTTGGTCTAATAGACCATCTTCCCATGTTGACATTATATTAACATTAAAAACAGCATAATTGCATATTAGGATTTTTTTGTTTTTTTCCGTATATTTTTCTTCATACTGTCGGATCTATATCCATATATTTGCTTACATATATATATATATATATATATATATATATATATATATATATATATATATATATATATATTAATCAATTCACCCCAAGCAAGATGATAATGTCACTAAGACACAAATGGTTATTGGCAGTGGAAAAGAATGAGAAGACTTTAGAAGGAACTGAAAACTCAATCCTAAACAGGAAACAAGGGATAAACCTCTACTTTTGTTTTAAAGAATGGGGAGGAGTGTGAACTGGACGATAACCAAACCTGTATTCTTCTGCTGGATTTTTTTTTTTTGACATCTTATCAACCTTTTGTAGGTTATGTTATGCTCTGTTGCAGTTAGATCTCATTCTAGTTCATTCTTCATGCCAGCTGGATGCAAATGCCAGGAGGACAGAGAACAAAATAAAATACATCGGTTTATGAGCAGGCTCTGGCAATGAAAGCAATATTGGCTATTCACAAATGTTCCCGATGGAAAAGGAGATTCCTCTGAAGACTACAAGATCTGCTTAAAAGCATCTCTTGTAGGAATTGTACACTCCAGCCTTCATCAGGTGTTTGGAATTTCAAATGGAACCCTTTATTTCATCCACCAGGAGATAACTGAGACATCTGAAAGAGGCATAACACATGGAACTAGAACAATCTATCCCAGTAGATGAAATAAAGGGTTCAGTTTGAAATTCCTATCACCTGAAGAAGGCCGGAGCATAAAATGGCCGATACATTGTGAATATGGCAATAAAGACAAGGACAAGAGTCCAAACAATATAAATAATTTTAAAATGTTTACTTCAATTTTTTTTCTTTTTGGAGATCTGATGTCAGGAATTACACTTTCACTTAAGGCAAAGTGGAACTCCATTTTATCAATGGCACGTATGCTCTCTTTGGCTTCTTCAGTTCAAATAAAAGAAAGACAAAACTGTGTGTGAATGAAAAATGTCTTAGTATCTCCTCAAGCCCAACTCTGGAGGTGGTAAGCGAAAGTAATTAATTTCATTTATGATACCCATTTATCCTCAGTGATTCCAAGACATTTCTCCTCAAACATTTTTGTCATAGTTTTATTCAAACTGAAGAAGCCAAAGAGAACATGCTTTCTCTGGTGAAACACATCTGATTTTTCACTTAGTCTCATCATTTCTTTTGGAAACTATTATGCCACTAACAAACACATATTCTCACTTAATGAAGAACATTTATCAGTTGTGAATGTCTGCGCATGTACCAAATTAATATTTGAACTGACTGATATAAAATATTTATGAAGTATTAAACTACATATTGGATCCATCAAGTACGTTGGCCAGTAATAATCACAGTTATTCACAGAGCCATGTTCCATCTAGTGTTTGGCTGTGTACACAAGCATAATGAAGGTCTGCTTTATCATTACAACAAAAACATTTTAAAGTTAGATCCATTTTTCAGAAAGACTCTGACAAGAATATTCAAAGTTAACATCATAAACTCTTATAAATAACACAACCAACTAATGCCAGCAGCTGAGTGTTAATCTCTTTGTATCCTGGATACAAGATTATCATGGATTTATCGTGGAATGCACATTCATTTTTACGTATATGTTATTCCTGTTGTTGCTAGAACTCTTTAAGAAAAAAAAAAACCTGAATTTTCTTTTGCCAGACAAATACGAACTTTCACTAGTTTTGCCAAAAAAAACTTGAACTGCACACCTTCTGATTTTTCATATTTTTATCCATCAGGATTGCCAATCGTCCTTTACTAGAAAAGACACTTTTTTGCTTTTAAATCTTTTTGTATTTTAATTTGGAAGATAAAGATATTTTCAATTACAATATCTATCTGGAGGAAATGAATTAAAAATTCTTCTTTTATGCAACATGTGCCTTCAGGATGTGGGTGATTGTGGCTCTCCACATCTTCTTATCCTTTGTAGGACTTTTTTTACTATCCCTCCCATTCCGTGTTTTGCCTTCTATCTACAAACTTGTTAGCTTGGTTTCTTGCTGTTTTCTTCTGCCCCCTCAGGATATGGGTGATCATGGCTCTCCACAACTTCACATCCTTTGCAGCACTCAGCAATATTTGCCTTTTCACTATCCCTTCCATTCCCTGTTTTACAATCTACAAATTTGTTAGATTTCTTGCTGTTTTCTTCTGTCCCTTTTGGACATAGGTGATCATGACTCTCCACAACTTCTTATCCTTTGTAGCTCATAGCAATGCTTGCCTTATAGCTATCCATCCCAATCTCTGTTCTGCCATCCATTTACACAATCTCGTAAGGTAGGTTATTTGCTGTTTCTTTCTACTCCTTTTGCGTTCAATATGTCCTTTGAGAGTTAAAATTCTCCAAACCCTTCTTCCTTATGTGTCCCCAAAATTTAAATTGTTTCTAAGTATGTGTTCTTTTTGTTTCCAGTTTCCTTAAAACTTCCTTATTGTCTACATGTGCCAT